AATCTGGGTAAAACCTGGCCCAGAGGTAAAGTAGGTGTCCGAGAAGAGGATTGTGTTGAAAGCTTGGCATCAACTTTTAAGAATGATTTTTAATGAATTTTTGAATATGCAACCAGACTGTCACGATGGCTGTATTGGGCTGTTCCATTGTAATTTGTGTGTGCGCGCGTGTGACTGTTCGCGCGCGCGCACGTGTGCGCGAGTCTAGGCTTTCAATCGGCACATAAAGCGAAAAGGCGCTACCGTAAAGACTGGTGTAAAAGCGCAAGGAAATTTATGCGGCGGATAGGAGGCGGCTGGTTTGACCGCGGCTCACAAATGACGGCTCACTTTACCGCGGTGCTCTCTCCTGCGCTCGCTCTCGGCTGCGTAACTAGGTTAATTGTGAATCCACCTGCATATTGATTGTTTTATACCGTTTAGGACAACTATAGAAATTTACTAAAATACTCATTGATGAAAACTTATCAAACTTTCAGTATTTACCTTTGTCATAGTTTTCGATTCTTTGGTATCCTTTTGTCCTCCAGGTTCTCAAACACCGGGGAGACGCAAGGCGGCGCAATCTGCTCCTCCCTCTTTTTAAACGAGCCAATAGTAGCTGCTCACATTAAAAACAACTTTATTTAAAAAGTCATTTTACACCTGATACAAACATTTTAAAAGTCAAACAATACACAAGTTTAAAAGAAAAAAAAATATTTTAAAGAGTTTTTAAGCATATATATGAATATATAATATTTGTCAAATAATTGTCACCCACCAAATCAACATCATAATAAAAATATAATTAATAAAATATATAATAATGATAAGAAGAATAACAACAACAGAAACAGTTTACCTAAAAGCTCTTCTAACATTAGACTGCTTTTGAAAAGTTTCAATAGTGTCAATACACCATAAGGACAAGGGAGTTACACAGTTGAAGTGTGACTGCTTGAAAGACCCCATTCCCTCTCCTCTCCACTAGTTGAAAGAAAATATAAATGATTTCTGGTTATATAATTTGAGGGCACAAGTTTGAAGAGTAACATTTTAACAGATCGGTAATATACTTCAGGAGCTTTACTGGGTCTGATTAACCAAAACTTCCAACTTCCATGTAGCTTACTGTCTTTTCTCTAATACAGTAGAGTGTGTCTGATCTACTAAAATCCTCAACTGCATGTTTGCTCAAGTAAATAGTCTTAATTGTTTGAACAACCAGTAATCCTTTATTTGCAAATGCCAAATCTGGATTTTGTCTGTGTAATTCACTTTTATCTTAGGTTTTTTATTTGTATTTTTTGCTTTTCTTTTTTCTACTCTTGTGTCCGTTTTATTATTGCTGCTGTGACAAGTGAATTTACCTAAGAAGAATCATGAAGTCCTTATTTATCTTATCTGAGCCTCACCATGCAGCCTACCATGCAGAGTACTGAAAGTTCAAATTAAGTACTTTAAATGAAATCTAAAATTAAAAAGTAACCAGTTTCAAACCAGTTATTTGGAATAGTGTGCAGAGTGTTTTGAGTAACATTGAATGTTCAAAAACACCAAAGTTCCTATGGTCTCACTTGACAGCTGGGTTGTAGTGTCTGATAACACATAACATCCTGAGGTCTCAATGTGGACTTTGAGCACATTTGCTAGTCAAGGCTAAATACTGAGAGGGTCAAAAATGAAGGGTAAAGAACATCTGACTGTACGTAAGGATAGCAAAAGTGATAGACTGAGGTTGTGCCAAATATGTTAAAGTTAGGGTGATTTGTTAGAGATTGGTACCCCATGGGTGCCGTCTGCAGGTTATAAAAGAGAGTTATGTTGATACTTTCTTTTGAGTTTCTTTTACAATTTGACTTTCAGAACTCCCTGGGTTGTGTGCAATCTGTGTTTGGCTTGTTTGGAATAAATCCTCCTTTATTTAAATAACACTTTCTCAGGCTCTTCACAGAAGAAGAATCCTCACATAAGCATGTGCTACCATTTTGAACCAATGCACACATTTACCATCACTGACCCAACTAGGACCTACATTGGATGCCCACCCATATGGATTTAATGTGAGAAACCCAAGTGGGTCCCATATATACTAAACAATCTTGAGCCCATGTAAAATATATGCCCATATTAACTTAACATAACCCATATGGGGCCCACATAGACATGTTTTCAGGGTCTGACTTGCATTTGCCCACGTGTGACACATATAGTTTGACCAGGTGGGCCCCACCTCTGTCATCAGTGCTAAAAAAAAATACATTGATTACCTCACTTTGCCCCACCTGGGGCACACAACAACAGCCTATCCGTAAACGACTGTGTTTGCCCATGTCTATCCCAGGTGGAAAACCCAAGTGGGCCCTACATGTGTTTCCCATTTTGGACCAAGTTAAGTGTTTCCCATGTTTGACCCAGCTAGGACCTACTAAAAGTGCCCACTTGGGATTGCCCATATGGGTTTAATGTGAAAAACCCAAGTAGGCCCCATACAAAAAGCCCAGTTTGAGCCCATGCCCACATGGTACCCATCCAGCCCGAGCAAAAACCAGGTGGGGCCCATATATACATGTTGGCTGGGATCGTGGTGGAAGCAAAACAGCAAAGGTCAAAGGGAATTCATGACGATGTTTATGTGAAGCGTAGTTTGGATCTTCTTTTGCTGCTGGTTCGGTCAATATTGTTTGGAGAGAGATAAAACCTGCAGCTTCAGAATCAGCGCAAAAAGGGCGTGAACACAAAGTAGAGTCAGCGAGCTGTCGGCTTTCAGCCCCAACCGTTTCCGTGCCGCCGGGTGAGAAAGTTGACATCTCACTGGTTCTGATCCGTCGGCGGGTCCGCGCTTTGTGTTTACGTCTTTGTGCAGAATCCGTGTTGGTCTTATTAAACCCGATTCTTTGATCCCCATGATAGAACAGAGAAAACCCAACTCAGAGTGGTCAAAACATTTATAATTCTTTATTCAATCATCTTCTGGAAGAGAGAGAGAGCTCTGCACAGCCCAAAGCCAGCTGCAGAATCTCTGACATTAGAAGCTAAACATGTGTCTCATATTGGTGTTATTTTGGTCCTTTACACGTCAGACATAGTTTGGATACAAACACTCCTTATATGTTACTAGTTCCTCTTTTTGTCTGGTTTCCTGTTTTTATTTATATGCTTGTATAGCTCTACACTGACTTCCTGTTTTTCAGTCTGGCTGAGCACTTAGTTTATGAGTCAAAAGTGGCCTTGCTTTACAAGCCTTTATTATTAAAATACATAAAACAATATAATCAGAAAATAAGCACTGAGAATATATGTTTATTCCTCAACAGCCTCTGTTTAAATTAAGGTGGATGAGTTGACCTGTGTTTGGTCACTTTGCATCAACCAAGAGCCAACAACAGCAAACTAAAACTGCTCTGAAAGCTTTTATAGACTTTAATGAACAGATAATACTTTAAGAAACAACAATAAAAAAAAATGTTTATCTCAGGGTCGGGCTCAGGTCACTGCAGGGTCTTAGACTCCCTCCTCTCCAGGCTGTATTCTCTGTAAATGTCTCCAAAAGCTCAGTTTGCTTTGCTCACAGGCTTTGATGTTGATCACTCTCCTCTGACTCTGTCCTTCAGAGCAGCTGGGAGACGACGTTTCTGTTCACTACAGCCAGGAGAGCTTCCTGCCAACCACATGGCTCAGCTGGTCTTCTAACAATGGAAATCCACTTGTTTTCAGGGTATAAAATAACCAGGGGTAGGGTTCTGTTGGTTGCCAAGTTCCACTTTCATGTTTAGTTACTTATTATGGTATTTCCACCACAATAACATCTTAGTACTGCAAAACCTGATGTGACAGCCTTGAGTTCATTTGCTGAGCCATGGTCTCTGTGGCCAGTTCAGCATCACCAGATGTTACTTTTCTCTCTTTTTTTTTTAGCTAACCGTTTAATATAAAACATCCAACTTGTATAGAAAGAACTGGAACAGAAAGTTCACTTTCTCTGGTGTGATGGCTGGATTAACACGTGAAAGTAAAAATATGAAGAATTGGTGCAGAAACCTCTTTCAGAGTTCATTCTGGATCCATGCCACCACGCTGTCCGCTGGCGCTCTCTCTGATTGGAAATGCTCGTCCAATGTTCGTTTCCAATCACACACTCAGTGTTCCCACACAAGCGTGGTGGCGATGTGCTTCACTCAGACCGGTCCTTTCTGTGCTTCAGTGTTTCCTGCCGGTGCTTCAGTGTCCTCAAAGCATGCTTGTTAGTTTAAGCACTCACTGCTCTTTTCTTTTAATGCCACATTTTAATCATCAGCACTTTTCGATGCATTCAGATCACTTCATGTGGCTCACATCCATGGTCACAGCAGAATCAGAGTTCAGCTTGCAGTTTAGTTTTTACATGTTGTCTGTATTTCAAACGGCGAGATCTCTGCAAGCATTCGGTCTTAGATTGAGAGAATACATGAATGAAATGTTTTCCCCTAAACAACACCTGAGCCTGTCCACATTTACCTTTAATGGCAAACTCTTCTGTAACAAACCTCCTGACTGACTTTCTTCACTTCCTGTCTGCTACATTTAATGTTTTGTGACATATGCAGCAGAGTTCAAAGGTCTGTGACCCCCAGCCTCACCTAACAAGCACTTCTTCTTATCCAGGTCTCCTAACTAGCATCTTTTAAGACCTTCAGTGAAAGTTGGTGTATTTAAAATGAACACAGAAGCTTAACAGCACACAGCCATGTCAGGGTGGGACCTTTGTTAGTGAACCATGGAGGGTGGAGGCAGCAGATTTACCCACAATCCCCCGCCAATCTGTTCCTCTGTAACAAAGCAGCCCAGCGTTATGTTGCCTGGAGGCTCTCCTTATCGAGGTCAGAGTGACACTGACACTTCAGCAGTGCTCAGCCCAGCCTGTACAGCTGCTTTGTCTCCTGAGTACAAGTCAGGTGAGTAAAACTCTCATTTGCTCATTAAGACCGCTGCGACTGTCTGTGCTGATATTCATTCACACACGAAATCTCCAGGAATCCAGAAGAAAAGAGTTCAAATTAATCATGTCTTCATTCATTAAGAGTGTGGAAACATGATCCAAAATCTGGGTGTGCCTTTGTCATTACACAAAGTCTGAATCTCTATATCATATGTGTGTAACATGATATTTTCCATAGCTTCAAACTCTGACAGTGTGAATCAGTATTCGAGATGTGTGGTATCATTTAAATGTTGTGTTCATTTTAAGCGTACAGGGCTCACACTGAGAGCAGGTGAGACAGGACCCAGCACAGTAATCAGAGTAGCTGGTGGCCGTGGTTGGGTGCTGTATCATGTAGCTGCTGTGAGATAAAGCACAGTGTTTGTAATCCAATCCTCCCCAGCACCAGCACATGCTGCTCGAGTCAGTTTGAATCGTGAAAGTGAGAGAATGTGAGGATGATAAAGAGAGGAGACATACCTGTGGAGGTGTCAAGAAGTGGACTTCTGTGCTTGGTGTGTGAAAGGATGTCTGAGGAGTGGAAAAGTGTACTGATGCTCGTTATCCGTAACAAAGGTGAGAGCTGTAGTAACTAAGGGCTGAAGCTGAAGAGAAACCATGAAAGTACCAGAGAGACTTGTTGAAGACAAGCACTGCAGACGTGACGATGCTGGATTGTGCTGATGGAGGAGGACAGATGGAGCTTCACTGTGGATCAGAGGAAGCAGATGAGATGCTGCCAAGAGAGGAACTGTGGTGCTGCATGAGGAAGTCATGAGAGGGTGGTGAGGTGTGAGTGGACAGATGGGTTCAGATGAGCAGCATACATTGGTCAGGTCTTCTTCCTCTCTCCATCCATGAGGTGTAGAAGCTTCAGATGTTCTGCTCCTGACACTGACCATCTCTCTATTTCCAAAGCAATCTGCATCCTGGCTTTGATGTCATGTAACGTCATGCACAAATGAAGATGATAAGGGAACGGGTTTCCATGGCAACTGAACTTCCCATGTCCTCCAAACTTCACACCTTCATCTCTACATTTACCCCAGTTCTCTTTTTATGTACTTCCCAAAGTGACCTTCAGTGCAGGCACACCACAAAGGTTTACAGTGTCTACGTCTCCGTAGCCCAGACTCACTCGAGATGTCAGCTATGCACTGGGAGGCCAGGCGACGGCAGACTGCTCTGGACCGCAGGATGGCCCGAGACAAGCAGCCGGTGAGCAAGCAGCTTTCTAATAAGGAACCATACATAAATGTTCACTTATGAAACTTTCAGTGTTTTTAAATATGAAATGACATCAAGTGTAACCGGAATCTGAACATTTTTCATTACATTGGCAACATCTCCAGATTGTATATACTCAGGAAACTGTAATTAGATCCTATCACAAACCGTCCATCCTCTTCCACTTGTCATCAGGGTCACAGGAGGGCTGCAGGCTTTCCCAGCTACCACAGAGCGAGAGGCACAGGCGACCATTCACACCCACAATTTCCAATCACCAATGAACCTAAACCCACTAACTGCATGCCTTTCACCATAACAGGTCTTTCAATAAGTTTCAGTGCTTGTAATACTTCGTCCTGCTGACTGATCCATGCCAATCCAAGTTTGTCACGGCTTCAGGTCAGGAGCTGTCACACTTTTAGTTGGAAGTTAAAGAACTTCAGATCATTTCTCCAACTCTCTGGCTCATCCATTACCCTCCCTGTAACACATTGTTCTGATGATCTGAGCACTGAAGGCAGACTTTCCTCAAACCGTGACATATTCTTTAAACTGCAGATGAGTTCAGAGTTGGCTATTGTGTCCATCTTTCTCTTCACAGTTGGTGCACATGAGAAGCTGTGCTGACACCAATGCAACCAAATCAAATGCAACAGAAGAACAACGAGGTAGGACCAGGCTTTTAACTATCACAATCCTCAAAGTACAGCTCGGGGGGTTGGTGGGGTGGGGCAGCGATCCTCTATATTATCTACTTCCACTTATTGATCACCCAAACACCCAGATTGAGTTTTAGTTCATTTGAAAGCCTGATGCTTAGTCTTGTCCAGCCAAGCTGGAAAACTGAAAAAACAGTTTTATTTGTTATCATCTCTAAGCCTGATCCTTACTCTGAGTTTTTGTCTGATTTCTCAGACTTCTTATCTGATTTATTGCTCATGGAACAAAACACAGGGAGAAAAACATGTAAACAGGAAGGTGAGACGAGACAACACGGAGACAGAAATATAACTAAACATAGCAGCCATAACCAAGTTTAACTCAATACTAACTAATAGAAAACTAAAACATTATAACACAGAAAAAAACACCATAAACTCAAAAGTTGGGTCAAATGACCCAGAACCACGACAGTTATTCGACTCAACTGGCTTCTTTCAAACTGTAAAAGAACCCACCCACCACTTTAATCACACTCTAGATCTTGTTTTTAACATATGGCATAGAAACTGAACATTTAACAGTGTTTCCTGAAAACCCTCTGCTGTCTGATCATTTCCTGATAACATTTACTTTTACAATAATTGATTACACAGCAGTGGAGAGTAGACTTTATCACAGTAGATGTCTTTCTGAAAGTGCTGTAACTGTTACAGATATAATCCACCCACTGTTATCATCTCCAATGCCCTGTACCAACACAGAGCAGAGCAGCTATCTGAACGCTACCCCAACAGAGGTCGATTATCTTGTTAATAATTTCACCTCCTCACTACGTACGACTCTGGATACTGTAGCTCCTGTGAAAACTAAGGTCTCAAATCAGAAGTACCTGACTCCGTGGTATAATTCTCAAACACGTACCCTAAAGCAGATGACTCGTAATCTGGAGAGGAAATGGCGTGTCACAAATCTAGAGGATCATCATTTAGCCTGGAGAAATAGTTTGCTGCTTTATAAGAAAGCCCTCCGCAAAGCCAGAACATCTTACTATTCATCACTGATTGAAGAAAATAAGAACAACCCCAGGTTTCTCTTCAGCACTGTAGCCAGGCTGACAAAAAGTCAGAGCTCTTTTGAGCCAACCATCCCTTTAACGTTAACTAGTAATGACTTCATGAACTTCTTCACAAATAAAATTTTTATCATTAGAGAAAAAATTACCAATAATCATCCCACAGATGTAATATTATCTACAGCTACTCTTAGTACCATTGATGTTAAGTTAGACTCTTTTTCTCCAATTGATCTTTCTGAGTTAACTTCAATAATTACTTCCTCCAAACCATCAACGTGTCTTTTAGACCCCATTCCTACAAAACTGCTCAAAGAAGTCCTGCCATTAATTAATTCTTCGATCTTAAATATGATCAACCTATCTCTAATGATCGGCTATGTACCACAGGCCTTCAAGCTGGCTGTAGTTAAACCTTTACTCAAAAAGCATCTCTAGACCCAGCAGTCTTAGCTAATTATAGGCCAATCTCCAACCTTCCTTTATATCAAAATCCTTGAAAGAGTAGTTGTCAAACAGCTAACAGATCATCTGCAGAGGTTTATTTGAAGAGTTTCAGTCAGGTTTCAGAGCTCATGCACAGCACAGAAACAGCTTTAGTGAAGGTTACAAATGATCTTCTTATGGCCTCTGACAGTGGACTCATCTCTGTGCTTGTCCTGCTAGACCTCTAGTGCAGCGATTCGATACTGTCGACCATAATATCCTATTAGAGCGATTAGAACATGCTGTAGGTATTACAGGTACTGCGCTGGTGCATTAAGCTCCAGTTGTGTTAAAGGGTCACACTGAGAATAGGAGTTCCACAGGTTGTGAACCAATTTGTTAATAAATGCTTCCTGCGCATATTAGACTCTACATTCATGCTTGCAGTCCCGCTATTCATAGCCTCACATGTAATCAGAATTCTGACAAAAGGTGGCGCTATTTGTAATCATACGGTGCTCCCTGAAAAGCTTAGAAATATGGTATCTAAGCAGATTCTTACTCTGGATGGCATTACCTTGGCCTCCAGTAACGCTGTGAGGAACCTTGGAGTCATTTTTGACCAGGACATGTCCTTCAACGCACATATTAAACAAATATGTAAGACTGCTTTCTTCCATTTGTGCAACATCTCTAAAGTTAGAAATATCCTGTCTCAGAGTGACGCTGAAAAACTAGTTCATGCATTTATTACTTCCAGGCTGGACGACTGTAATTCATTATTATCAGGATGTCCAAAAAACTCCCTGAAAAGCCTTCAGCTGATCCAAAATGCTGCAGCAAGAGTCCTGACAGGGACTAGAAAGAGAGAGCAGATTTCTCCTGTTTTGGCTTCCTGTTAAATCCAGAATTCAAAATCCTGCTCCTCACATACAAGGTCTTAAATAATCAGGCCCCATCTTATCTTAATGACCTTGTAGTACCATATCACCCTATTAGAGCACTTCGCTCTCGCTCTGCAGGCCTACTTGTTGTTCCTAGAGTATTTAAAAGTAGAATGGGAGGCAGAGCCTTCAGTTTTCAGGCCCCTCTTCTGTGGAAGCAGTTAAGAGGGAGTTTTTCCTTCCCACTGTCGCCAAAGTGCTGCTCATAGGGGGTCATTTGATTGCTGGGTTCTTCTCTGTATGTATTATTGTAGGGTCTACTGTACAACATAAAGCACCTTGAGGCGACTGTTGTTGTGATTTGGTGCTGTGTAAATAAAACTGAATTGAATTATCTGGCATCTGAATGATTCATGACAGGCCACACAGGCTGCTCTACGCTCTCACATATCAGAACCCATTGATGTAATGCTTTCTTGGCAGTGGACAACAAAGGATTCATCATTCACTGCCTCGTTCTCTCCCTTGTCAGCCATTCGTTTGGCTGAGATCATTCTAAGGGCAGCAGCAGCAAGTTAGCCGTGTGGTCAGCTAGAAGCACACATCATTTTTGCAGAAGGTTCACTGTCCCTACAGCATCTCCCTCACCGATGCCACAGCTACAGGTTACACACAGAACAAATCAATGTTATGATTTAGTGAACACACCTTAAATACCAGCGTAACAGCTCTGTCCATTCAGTTTGTTTGATTTGGCTCTCGTGCAAATCACTCACATTAGTGATGAGTGGGATCAGTCTTAAGGTGGTAATCAGGTCTCCTGCTCCTTGTGGTCTGACCTTGTTTCCTTGTGTTAGAGCTCTCAACAAGCCCCGTTCAACCCCCCAGGACATCACATCAAATTCAGAGCCCGGCGCTGTGTTTCAGTTCAGTTTATGTTTTCATATGGCACCAGTGCATAACAACAGTTTCCTCGAAGAGGATTACGCTGCAAAGTAATCTGAAGAAGACCTCTGCTAGAACCAGTAGGGAGGGGCAGCCTAATGGGATGAGAGGTAAACAAGAGGTAACATTTCCATGTGCTGCTTGTAGCCGGAAGTCAGCATCACTGTGAAGGTGACCTGAAGATGGATGACCATCACAACCCCAAGATTCCCAACAGGTTCTCAGTAGGTATCATTGAATTCCTGTGATAAGGCTTGGCCTGTCATTGTAGACTGGCAATGACTCATTTTCATTATGTTTATCAGGATCACTCGTCTTAGTAACGGCCCATCTATTACAAATATTGATCTATTATCCATTTATCTTCCAGTCTCTGCAGTACACCCAGCAGTGGTGAGGAAAGGGAAAGCCTCCACTCTCATGACTATTGCAGCATGTGTGGAAGCAGCTGTTTCTGCATCTGTCAGATAATAAATGAAAACGACTCCGTCCATGTGTCTGTTACTGGAGTTACAGAAGGACCCTCAGACAGTTTGACACATATGCACACTGCAGCGAAGGCAGCAAAACTCTGATGAAGCTGCAGTGCTTGGTCTCTCTCACATACACATGCTCAAACACACAAACAGGTGTGGGTGTCTGACAATGCATGTGTAACACACTGAACACAAAAAGGAGAGATCAGGGTCATTATTGCTATCATCACAGTGATTTATTCAAACAGCACTGGCACAGGGCAACTGTGTGCTTTGCAAAGGGAGGAGAGAGAAATTTAAGGCATGAAACACAGATGCACGTAAAATCATGAGAAACTAACAATGCAGGTTGTTAAGAAGCTGCCTTCTTGTGTAAACTGGTCCTCCCACCTTAACTTTGTTCAGCCTTTTCTGTGCCGACTCTCTCTAGTGTCTCCAGTCCTTCCCATATTTTCCAGTTCTGCCTTCTATCCAGCAGGGGGCGTAACAAATACTTTGTTATTGTGCTTAAGTAGAAATTTCAGGTATCTGTACTTTACTCAAGTATTTTTTTCCTGACGTTTTACTTTTACTCCCTACGTTATCGGAGAAATATCTGTACTTTCCACTCCTTACATTTACAAAGCAGACATACTTTTGATTTTAAGGAGAGTTATTTCATCACACCTTCAAACGTCAACCTGATTTGAGCCTCAACAGCAACACGTGAAAGGCAGTCCTGTTCGTGTATTAATCACCAGAGGATGTCGCAAAATGAGATGAAAGAGGCAAAACCGTGTGAAATAGTCTGGGATTAAAGTGGGACACTGTTTTTATTTTTCTGCACAGCACCAGAATGGCTGCAGGTGCGCGTAAACTGCAGTTGCAGTACTTCAGCATCTGCCTGGCCAGGAGTGAACATAAATGGATCAGTATTTTTTAAGTGACTTCTATCAGTTCAACAACCATCAGCAAACACAACAACTGTTTGTTTGCAGTTTGTCTCAGTGTTGTTTGGAGGCTGCATGATAAACCGGTTAGTTTGCTGCACTGTGGTGGAGTTAAACAGTGTGCTGGACTGTTGCTCAGCAGCTGCTGTGCTCATGGTCAGAGTTGCGTTACATCAAGTGTAGCAGAGATTAATATGATCATCACCACACGTAACATACCGACACTGTGACAAACCGTCAGTATGTTACATGTTGGGAATGAGAATGCTCTGGACTTTTAGCTGATGATGCTGAGATTCGTTCACCTTCATACCAGCTGTATAGTGTCTAATATAAGACAGTATAAATAGTATACTGTCAGTGTAGAGGACAGAAATCAGCCCAGACAATTCATAAAACATCAGCTGGCATCTTGTTGAATTCAATTCTTTACGTCCACAAAGAGCCTCGATCAGCTGATCACTGAAGCTCTCGATAGAGACGACCGAGTTGTGATTCACAATCAGTCACAACATCTGACTTTAATGTTCCCCCACTTGCTAAACCCTGACTGTGCTCATTTCCCTGTTTAGAGGCAAAGCCACCCTCTACAGTGCACGCAGTAGAAAACAGATCTGAATGATTCCTTCTTTAGATTCTGCTCGTGCTCCGTCTGACTGATTCAAGCTGAGGACAAGTAGAATTAACACTTGAACTGAAATAAAGTTTTTATTCCATCTACTAATATTACATTAATATAGCACAAGGTTCATTAAACATTCAAGGAGTTACTTTGAGTACTTTTCAGAGCCTGTACTTTCTCACTTTGGTTAACACGAGTATCCGTACGGACACTTTAGTCCAGAACGTCTGCAGCCTCTGACCCTCTCTCACAGCAGTGCAGCTGTCTGTTTAACACAGGACTGGAAGCACTGGGCTGACTAACAAACTTCAGCTAGCAGGAGCTGATTTGACGGTTTTAAAGCCACGATGCTGTGTTTCATGCATTGTTGCAGTTGGCTTTGTTTCCCCCCCTGCATTCATTCACCAAACACAGGACTCAAACAGGCTCACATAGCTTTATTGGACTTGTGGAGAGGAAGTGTCTGTCAGGAAGCTTTACAGGAAACCGCGTCATTTCATCAATGCACCAAAAACCAGAACATGGCCTCACTGTAGAACTGCACTTACATGTGTTAAATGTTAAGCCAGTTCATTTTACCAGGCTGTGACCTGCAAAGGTATTTTGCTGCATAAAGTTTCTTAAAGATCTCTTTAAAAATAGCTCCAAAGCCTCACACGTCCACTTCAGTATAACAAACACAAGAAATAAAGAGAAGGCAGGAAATATACAGAAAAACCCTGAAGAGCAGATGTGTTGGTGTGTAAATAGAACTTGGCTAAGGAGAGGAAGACCAAAATGATGAAGGTACAATTACTGAACAAACTTTCAAACAGAGACGATCAAGTGGAGAATACTTGCTCGTGTCTTTGGCAGTAGGTTTGGTGAATACGCTCTCAAAAAGACAAATACTGAGCTTCATTTGAAGATCATCAGGCCGTCTAAGGATTTATAGGATTGCAGCTGACAGAGGGGGCAGCACATGCTGGACCACACTGGAGGTGCTGGGTCATTTTAATGGACTGGCTACAGTGATCAGGGTCACATGGTTACCACGTGACTTGCACAGTGAGACCATGTGAACGGTTTGGCCCACTGCACCGTTTCGCCTTCCTCTCCAGGCACAGTCAGTTTAATTCAAAACCAAAGCAGCTGTTAACCTTCACACTGATTTTCCAGTCATTCGACATCCAGCCGCGACAGCATCCTGCTCGAAATATTACACAGCACATTACTCTAGTTCACAGACACGCGCACAGCATTTGTTATCTGTGCCTCCATCAGGTCGATGCGGCTTGTACGCTGTGTGGTACGGTGTTGTTTGCTCCACAGTCGATGTACTCGTACGTCTCCAGGGACAGCTGCTCATAGCGGGCCAGGCAGAAGACTGTCAGCGATATCCTGCACAGAGATCACCGTGAAAATCAGCAAGCTGGAAACTGCAGACCTTCACAGCTGTGCGTCAGCCCGAGTTTGAAGACACTTCTCCCTCATCGACTCCCTGCTGGGAGCGGAGAAGAAGAAGGACGGCCTACATATTTCGTTGTCGCGTACAAGTACCAGCAAACACTCATGAAGACCAAAGCAGACTCACTGCTCCTTCAGGACCATCTGATCTGGCTGCTGTTGCCACATACAGCCGTGTATATGCAGGTAACCACTGCTGGCTACAGTCGGGACATGTTCATACCTCAGCTGTGATCGGATCGAACAGCTTCTGTGAATCTCTTCATGCTTAAAATGTTCAGATTTCCAATTAAAACAGCCAAGAGCAAAGACCTACTAAACCACTGTTAATATAAGCTTGTTCACATCTAACTTTAAAACTTCTTTATTGTATTTTCTGCACAAACTGAAGACGACTAAGCGCCTGCTGAAACAAAAGCAGGAGGATGTCATACTTACTGTAGGTTCACATACAGGATATGGACAGGCAGCGACTCTTTCTTACAGTAGTTACTGCAGAGGGAAGACAGCAGAGACAGGAGAACGAAATGTTTTAGACACAGAACAGAAACAAACTGTGCACCAGCTGCTAAATGAGAGCGTGACACAGCAGAGCTGGATCATTTCACAGTGCAAACCAACCTTTGAACAACGTTCACCAGCTTTCTACATCACCTGTGCAGAATGTAACCTTCAAACACCGGACTGACGAATACAGATTTAAGTCTACAGAGAAAGACTCAGACTTTGTGTCACACATCTGCTGTTAGACAGCAAATGCATTAGAATAGATATGATTCAGTGACCTCTGACCCCCCAGTAACCGCTCTGACCATAAATTCGTCCCACTTAGGCTCACCTCAAACCAGGGTCTGTCAGCTGGATGGGTATCATGAAGGAGTACTGTGAAGAAAGAGAGATGCAGAGTCATTCCTCACTTACTGTGATACTTGTTGAACAAAGTCTCAACAACAGTAATCTTCCTTAAATAAAAAGCACAAGAATAACAGAAATCAGATCCATCAGTGAGGAAACATCGCTCTGGACAAATGAAATATTTCAATGTTCAGTTTTGTTTCGTGAACAAACCAAATAAAGCCCTCATCGGTGACTGGGATATGTGAAAATCTGTTCTGGTTAGATGGATCTCTCTCCGAATGTTACAAACACGTCACATGAATACAGCTCAGATCAAACAGAGCCAGCTCGCTGCTGCAGTTACAGACAAAGACATCAGCAGTGCTCCAACAGCCTGCATCCAATCGGTTATCTGTCCTTCAGCAGGATTCATTAAAGCCAAACATCCTTCAAATAATACACGTAGACTTTTCAGCCTCATACATCTGTCTCACCACAGTAACCATAACAACTAACCTCTCACTGGATGCAGAAAGAGCCTCTGACCACCTAACCTGGACATTTGTCCTGAAAACACTGGAGAAACATGGCTTTGGGCCGTCGTTTATCCGATGGATCAAAACACTACGACAAACCAGAAGCAGCAGTTGTAACAAACACCTCAATCTCAACAAATTCACAGAGGTGCTACACGAGGAAGAAAACACTGTGTGTGCACCTAAAACTCAAACACCCATATGGACTTACCCCGACTTCACTGCAAACGGAAAACACGTCGCACGCCTCTGTCGCACGTTTGATCACAATCATTTCAACAGCTCATTGACAGGAAACAGTTTCTCCAATATAATGAAACTCAAACACTCCACCAAAGCAAAGTATCAACAACACTCAGCTAGGGCTGCCACGATTTGTCGACTAGTCACGATTACGTCGACTATCAAAATCGTCGACGACTGATTTAATAGTCGAC